TACATTCTTATATTTAAGATCGTGTCTTAAATACATATTTAAAAACATTTTAACTAATAAAATGATTCGTACGGATGTTATACATATCATATTATGGTTAAAAATATTTGAGAATTTATTTGAGAATTATTTAAGACAATCTTTAAATATAATAACATACTATGAACAAGCCTTAGTGCGCACTCAGTGCACACTAGTGCAAGCAACCGAATTCGCTATTAAATTCAGCGTAGGCAAAAATCATTTGCACATGCGCGAGATAGGTATGTAACCAATCGCAACACTGATTTTCTATCTTACTTCCTCTTTCCATTTTCGCTCTTTCTCAACCATAGAAAGACAACATAACCTGCAAAAAGTTTTATTTTGGCGGTCTGGGAGTACGCATGTGTCCACAAAAACTTTGTTGAACTACCTATTTTTCTGCGAAGTCGTATTGTTTCAGTGGTGCGCATTATATCTCTATATCTCTAATTTCTTTACCCTGGTAATATGTCACTTTTATTTTTTATAATTGAAGGAAATTATAGACAAAAGGAAAAGTATGTCGGCTCGTGAATCAAATGCATGGTGTATTGTAAGAGAATGCAACAAAAATATAGGGAAAAAACGACACTTCTTTAGTTTTCCAAAAGAACATGACAGGTACAATTTCATTGTACTTATTATACTTTAGCTACGTTTCGATATTCACCACCAGTACTGTACATTTATAATATATGTAAAATGAACTATAGATTTTCAATATTGGAAGTGAATATTGGGTAATTATCCAGTTTAGCGGCCTCACCTCCGATTTCAATGAAAGTAGGCTCAATCGACGCGTTTTTGCATGCCAAATAACTTTTTCTTCTGACAAAATCGTCGCTCTTTACTGCGAAGCGAGATATTAATAGACAAAGTTGAGGGCGTGTTAGGTTAGAAAATCTGTCATACCGTCTATCTCTAGCTATGTAACTGGGGGGCTTCGCCCCCCAGACCCCCCTATCACGGAGGGTGGGAGCTACAGTCTTTTGTGAGAAATTCACTCTTTAGCTTAATTAAGCATAAGCACATAAGTTACATAGCTAGAGATAGATGGTATGACAGATTTTCTAACCTAACACGTCCTCAACTTTGTCTATTAATATCTCGCTTCGCAGTAGAGAGCGACGATTTTGTCAGAGGAAAAAGTTATTTAGCATGCAAAAACGCGTCGATTGAGCCTACTTTCATCGAAATCGGAGGTGAGGCCGCTAAACTGGATAATTACCGAATATTGGAATGCAGCCTTTGAAACAAAATAAAAATTTGTACTATATAAAGTATTTCTGCAATATTTCCACATTATTAAGTTTACTTAAATAAACACATGTGTATATTATACTTATTTATAATCAAAATTCGGTAAATATTTATAGATGGTTACAATGGATACATGCATGTGAAAGATCAGATTTGAAAGTAATGGGTGCAGAATATGCTTATCGTACTTATCGACTATGCCACTTACATTTTGAAGAAAAGTGGTATAGAATAAACAAGAGTCGAAGTTATCTTCATCCAGATGCTATACCAACAATATTTTTTGGAAAAAAGAGAGAGTAAGTTCTTACAAATACATATATCTTAATGTATATTTCTTATTCCATATATATATTTCTTATTCCATATATAATTTCTCTGTGTGCGTGTATTTGTACATATTATATACAGCAATATGTCCGCTGTAACAACAGTAATGGAAGAAAATGGAAAAGAGATATATGAAACTAAAGTACCAAATAAAAGAAGGAAAGACAATTTTAATATTTTGGAAAGAGATTGTGAACAACAGGAAAGCAATACGTAATTGAACTTTTAAATATCTTAAATTATACACATCTTCATAATGACTTCTATATTATAAAAGAAGTTACTATTGCAATTTATTTTGAAGCATATATCTGTTTCTTTGCTGTATAATATATTTGGATATGCATATTATACAGACATATGTGTAGCAGCACGAATTTCACAGAAGATTTGGAAAGTGCACGGAACAGAAAATTGCAGCAACAATATGTAAAATGGAAAAAGATAATGAAATCACTGAAAAACGATCAAAGGAACAGAAGACCTCAAAAGAAAATTGAAAATCTGGTAAACACAGAGTCACATCGCAAAGTGCCTGAAAACGAATTACAAACCTTACACCAATTAAAAGGTAAGCTATTTTCATCAACTTTTGCACGATTATTATTAACACAAATTGATTCATTAATTAAGAAGAAACGTGGAAAACGATATGATTTCGAATTTAAACAATTTTCTTTATGTTTATATTTTTTGAGTCCATGAAGTTATAAAATACTTGAAAAAGAATTTTCACTGCCTTCAATACGTACGTTACAAAAATTTACACAAACATGGAAAATAGAACCTAGTATAAATGACAAGATTTTTGATACATTAAAGATAAAATTGCATTAGAACGTCATTGTATCTTGTGTATAGATAAGTCTGAAAGCTCATTTGTTTTACAATGTTTCACAAGATGAAATAATTGGCTTTGAAAATACAAGTAATTGCAATTACCTGCGAAAAATGCATTAGTCATTATGGCACGTAGTATTGCCGGTAAGTGGAAAATACCTCTTTGCTTTTTTTAGTCGAAAGTACTTGTAAATCGAATATATTAAAACCGATTTTATTTGACGTAATATGTAAGTTACGGGATTATGGAGTTATGGTGCATGCTGTACTTACAGATATGGGGTCTAATTTTCTACAGCTGTCTCGAGAATTGAGAATTTCGATACATAATTAAACCTTTTCAGTTGATGGATCCGAAATATTATATATATTCGATCCTCCTCATTTAATAAAAAGAACTCGTGACAATTTATTAAAATATAATATAGAATATGACATTAACAAGGTAGCTTCATGGACTTATATAGTTGACTTCTATAACAGAGATAACAAACAGCGCATAAAACTGGCTCCAAAATTATCGAAAAATCATATCGAACCGACTAATTTCCAAAAAATAAAAGTTAAATATGCGGTGCAAATATTTAGTAATAAAGTAGTTGCAGATATGTGTGCTCAAATATCCTATGGCTTTCTTTCATTTCAGGCAATTGGTACAATAGACTTTATCGATTATTTTGATAAACTATTCGATATTTTAAATTTTTCACCTTTTCAAAGTCCAAAGGAATTTAAACAAGTTTTTACAGGAAGCAAAAACAAATAAAATTTTTAGATGAAATGTTACATTTGTTGAAAAATATTAATGTCATTAATGAGAAAGGATCTCGTATAAAAGTGAAATGCTTTGAATGTTGGCAAATAACTATCAGAAGCATTATACAACTGTAGGAAAAGTTAAAATGTCATAATTTTCCATATATTTACACACGGAGGTTAAATCAAGATTGTCTTGAAAACTTCTTTGGCACCATTAGGCAACAAGGCGGTAATTGTTTAAATCCGACACCAATTCAATTTATTCGCGTCTACAAAAAATTGTTCAATATGAAAATTTTACAACATTCAAAAACGCAAAATTATACATTAGATACAGATCATATGTTAAATTTCATTGGAATGTCACATTCAGGTTCATTAACATCTTCGGAATTTATTCCATGTACAGGTCTAATGGCTCCTGCACACAGAACGTGGTAATGTTTGCCGCGCGGCGGAAGTCCGTGCGACAGCCAATCAATATGTTGTTTTTTCGTAAGAGCTAGAAGGTTATTACGGAAAACAGCATATTGATTGGCTGCCGCGCGGCAAGCATTATCGCGTCCTGTGAACAGAAGCCATTATACTAGATATTCCTAATCACGAATATTATAACATGGAATTGCCTGAAGAAAATGCGTTTAGATATGTATGTGGATACTTGTTAAAAAAATGTATAGAAAGACATACATGTGAAATATGTGCACATTATATTAATGATAACAAGACTGTCTTAGACAACTTTGCTTTATATTGCTCTTTCTGGGCTTACGGTAACACAGAAGAAAATTTATTTGGAAAATTACATATAGCAAGCAATCATTTTTATATTTATGTAAAAAAATTAGAAGAAATATTTGTGAAAACATTTGAAAATAATTGTTTAAAAAAAAATATTGGAAATATTTTATTTAAAAAGGCACAAACCGTACTTTTTGAGGTACCATGTCCCGATTTCCCTACAGTGTATCTAATAAAATTATATTTCGGCATGCGTATCTATTTTACTTTATCTGACCATAATAAATAATGTAAGAGATTAATAGAAAAAGTAGGAAATTTTGAACATTTTACATTTATAACTATTTTCTAATTTGTTTTTACCCTTCATTATTCGCATGTTTTTAATTTTCATATTCTGCAAATATGTTCCTCTTATTGCATGAAAATGTTATTTTCTCTGTTTATACCGTCTACTCTTTCACGTTTGTTTCTTCATACATGTCTTCTGTACAGATCTCACATATTATTTGTATTAAATATCCTTTTTCACTATACCGCAATAAAATTATTTTAATAAATTTTATGTACTATTTGTGTTTTTTCTCATGCTATGCTTCTTCACTACATTGCTATTAATATTTTTTCCCCAGACTTTTCATCAGACTTTAGACCTTATATTTTTCTAGACTATTTTCATATCCTATAAATTTTTTGTATTATTTTGTATTTTATTATATTTATGGGGAAATGTGTATAACGTAAACATTATTTTATTATAAGATAATTTGAAGATAATTTCTTATATGCTTCTCTATTAATTCTTTCCTACTTTATTTCTATCTTATTTTTTATGTTTTAGAATATATGGTGTCAAATGGAGAGTCTTTCGAGTAAACAATCTGTGTGTTAGCAGTTTGACGACAGATTAACAACAATTCAAGCATTATCTGTCGACAGTTCCATAGTTATCTGTATCCGCAATCTGCTGTTGTTCTATCGACAGAACATACTAACAGAATTTTATAGCAGATTAACGGTAGACAACGAGCAGGATCTAAAATATGTTCCATTTTAATACATTAAAATGACAGATCCTATTTCATTTTTATCATCAGTCTGATTATGTCATTAGATCCTGTTATATTTATACCAGCAAGCTGCTTAAGCTTACTTCTTAGAGTCTCTTAGCAACAATAAATACGATTTCGACATATCAGGTTTCAGACAACTTGGATATACATTATCATTTATATACAAGCATATTTATATACTTATTTATATACATACTTCTATACATAATTATATACATGTTTATTAATTTCTTACTATTTCTTATAAAACTTATAATCCTTGCGAAAAAATGTATATATACAAAATCCTTTTTCACAATATGTATTGTGTGTGGTCTCACTATGTTGCCTATGTCACGCCCGACCGACCAGGCTGCCAGCCAGTGATAATTTTTTGTCCAAATAATCCTTTACCTGAGACACTCCAGGTACGAAACCTTTCTTTCCCAGAAGGAAGGCATCACTACCATTCAGACCTTCTTCTAAAGGCGGGATCACAAAAGCTCAGCAGCAGTCAGTTAGAGTCAGGTGCCGGGATCGAAAGTCCAAAGATAGTCCTCACCTCTAAATCCCATTTCTCTAATTCACTAATTCTAAACCTTAGTTCCTTCTAATTCTTAAGCAATTAACTTTAGGTTATCTTTAACATTCTTAAATATTTACGAGCGTTTTATTCTAATGCATAATTCTTTAGTTTGTTAAACAGTTTATTTTAGTTATTACGTCACTTCCGTTACT